CTGACCCCTGAGCATACGTGGGATGCCTGATGAGTCAAGTGTGCGGGGGGGGGGGGGGGGGGGGGGCGGGGGGCATACACTCCAGAGTATTCTTGTGCCTTCCCAAGGATGACAATATACCCATCTTACTGCCAAATAATTATAGGTGAGATTATTCTGAAAACAGAAAAATTAATACTCTTGAAACCACTCAAATGCAAAACAATTGCTTCAACTCTATCCATTTGTGACTGTTGGCTGTAAATGTCTTTATTATCCATACTTAAGTAGTTAATTTTCACATTTAGCATAATTTGCAAGGCTTCGTCTTTCTCCAAATATTCAGTTCATATGTTCTTCACAACAGTTCTATGACCAGGCCTATTTATTCAAATTTCTCACCTTTCACAAATTTTACACAAGAAAACGACGATTTACAGAATTACCTGTATATACAGCTTTTCTTCTCTCGCCGTCATGATGAGATCTCTTCCCATGTGTGCGTGCTTTCGCCCGGAACCTCACGGTGATGGCTGTGTTTGGCTTCTCAGCGCTGCAATTCTGCTCAGGGAACGACTTGGTTTCCACAAGGTTTCCAAACTTCTTGTTGAGAAAATGGTGCACAGCTTTCCTGTGATCTTTGTTTGTATCTGGTTCAAAGGTAAATGTGGAATTTTCTCTCTTTGCATCCAAATATTTGAAAAAACCAAGTGCTTCTTCTTCAGATACCAAATGGCAGAGTTCTTTATACTCAAGGTTTGGCTTTACAAGGATTTCACTGTTTTTTCCTACGGTTATTAAAAAAGGAAATGTCTGCCTGACGGCACTGTGTAAGACAGCTCTTTGGCTTTTCTCAAGGATCCTACCTAGTGAGAATTCCAGAGATGCTTCAATTGACTCGGTTTGTGATTTCCACATCCCTTTGACATCACAGGCAAACTGTTCCAGCAACGTATGAGTTTTTTCATCTAAAAGTGAACTTAATATGTCAACATTTTCTTTTTCGCATTTAGAGGTCACACCGTTGACACTGTGTTCTTCATCCGAGCTGGACTGAAGACTCTGGTCACCATCTGTGTACCCAGGCAAGTTAGCAGCGTCTCCGTCACCTTCATGTTCTAAGAAAACGTCTTGACTATTTAGCTTTGGCTTTTTGACAAAATGACTTGGCTCAGATTGTATTTTATTAATTTCATGAACAGATTCACCAATGGCCTTACTGACTAATTGTCCATGCTCATCAATCTCGGTAACAATGAAGTCACTTGGGGAGGCTTTTATAGTGCCCAGAAATCCAACATGATCATTAACAAAACATAAGGAACTAAACCTGACTCCACTATCTGTGTCCTCTTCCATTCTTAACAGTGCCTACAAAAGAAACAAAACAGTCAGCTACCAGGAATACAGATAAGAATGAAATTGGTTTGTAACATCCACTCAGTTGTCTTCCTCTTAATTTTGTGGTTCATAAAAAGCACTAATAAATTACTTTATAGCTATATGTGTATATCCTACTTTCATACAGCACACAGAATTAACAGTCTAACTAATTTGTGAACAAAGGAATGATTTGTATCTTGATTTCCCATTCAATCTAAGCTTCTTTTATCTAGAATTAAAATGACTAAATTTTGAACTGGAGAAATGGCTCAGCAGTCAATCTAACTTCTTCTTGCAGAGGACCCCAGTTCAGCTCCCAGCACCCACATGGCAGCTCACAACCATCCCTAACTCCCATGCCAGGAGATCCACTGCCTTTTTCTGATCTCTGCTGCACCAGGCACACTTGTGGTTCACATACATACGTACACACAAAGCACACTATACCAAAAAAAGGCAAATGTATTAAAAATGTTTAAACTTAAAGAAAAAGACATAAAATGGGTCAGTCTCAAGTTCATCTGAATAGTACCTTTAGGCCCACAGAGAAGAGAGAAGAAATTAGGTTTGTTTTTACAGTGATTGTCGCCCTGGGAGCGTTGAGATCTCCTGGAGCTAATTCCAGAGACACTGCGGTAGCATTTTTATACACTGGAAGTTAGATCATGAGGAAGAGTAAAACAGAAAAGCCTACAGTAAATAGATGTGAGCAGTTCTCCAGAAGCGTAAAGAAAGACTAGTCAGCCGGGCGATGGTGGCGCACGCCTTTAATCCCAGCACTCGGGAGGCAGAGGCAGGCGGATCTCTGTGAGTTCAAGACCAACCTGGTCTACAGAGCTAGTTCCAGGACAGGCTCCAAAGCCACAGAGAAACCCTGTCTCGAAAAAAAAAAAAAAAAGAAAAGAAAAGAAAAGAAAGAAAGAAAGACAAGACAGACTAGTCAGTTCTGGTCCTTCAGCTTTCTCTAAATTCCCGACACGAAAGACAGAAAAATCCCAAGCTGACGAGAGGATATTTCTACCGAATCACCGGCTGCAGAGAAAGGAAACCATTACCGAGTTTTCTTGGAGCGGTGGCACAAGAGCAATTCTACCAGGAACCCCACAGTCGGCACCATCGCACACAGGACTGTGGGAAGCAACTTCACTGCTTGGCACTTGCATTTCCCATACTTTACAAGTACTTTGTCATCTTGATCTAAACAACTTAGCAAACACCCGCCCTCCTGGGTCCTTTCCATTGGGCCAAGAACAAATCGCAACGAACTCTTTGTATCACCATGTCCACGTTTATTTTCTTTAATTGTTAAATTCCCTGCAGTCCCTGCATTCCTAACGGAATCCTAAAGATTTTTCTTCTCCTGTCGTCTTCTCAGGGGAAAGACTTTTTTTCTTTCTTTCAACCCAATGTATCTTAGATCTGGAGACTAGAATAACATTGCCTGTTTGTTGTCACTGATCTTTCCAAACAGGTTCTTTCCCTTCTACCTCAGTTCCTTTACAGATCTTGTCCTGGACTTTACCATCTTCCCACCTCGCCTCTCTGGGAACTCCTTCACTGAGACTTCCACCCTCTTGAGCAGATCCTCTCAGTCACCCATGTGGATCATGTTTCTAGCCCCATCCCACATTCCCGCAATCTCCTCCGCAGCTCTGGCCCTCCATTTCCGCCATCCACTCTTATCATTTTTACTATCAAATTTACCACCTTCAGAAATCAATTTCCTGATCACACCTGTTTTGACATTCTTCAAGAGTTCCAACTCCCAAATTCTTAGGCATTGTGGCAGCTACTTCTGTCTAGCCAACTCTCATCTACTATGGGTAGCACCCAAGACACCGTATTAAAAGGTAAACTGTACCACAAGTGTTTAAAACCCCTATTGCTACATTTACAACAAAGTCTAAACTACCTACCCTGAGATTTTGTGTCCTGTCTACTCTGCACTGTGATATACCTTTATCCCATCACCCTCTAAACCACAGTTACACTCTCTAACCGCTCTCCTCACTACCTTTGTGGCAACTTTCTGCCCAGTCTTTTAGGATCACATTCTCAGAGGTTTGCACTGACCAATAATCTAATCTATGGGAACCAGCATGCCATTTTCTTAAAAAAAGAAAATAAAAAATAAATAAAACAATTTAATTTTCTGTACAGCAAATGTTTTTATTATTTACTGTCCATCTTCTTGAAGTTAGTGTCAATCCCACATGAGCAGGGCTTCTACCTCATTCAATACTGATTAGCCCACATTTAGAATAGCACCAAGCACATAACAGATACCACAGCAGGTCTACAATCAATATCGGTTGTTGGACAAAAACAAACTGGAACACTGTAAGAGCTGTTATAGCAATGAGGAGGAAGAGTTAACTTTTGTTTGTGATAACCAGAAAGGGTATAATAAATTACTAATTAAGTCTTGGAAAATAGTTCAAGAGACAGAAGAGGGGCAGAAATACCACACGCAAGTACAAACAAAACGGGAAATATGTGGAAGGGGGAAAAAACGGCCCAGAGCAATGGGAAGAGGGGAATCGGGTAGCAGTTTTGGAGACTACAGCTTAAGTCATGCTATGAGAAATACTGAACGCTCTGTCAAAAGTTGGAATCTGCCTAGTGGAGGTGTTTCTAAAATGACGGATGGAACTCAGCAGTCAGCTGTGACCAAGTCCACAGGGGTCCACAGGACTCCAGAACCCTAGGGATTCTAGGAAAAGAAAGATCATATAAAGACAGTCTAGGCTACACGTGGGGACTGCAGCGACAGCGACAAAGGCTTTCTAGCCAAGTAGGTAGCAAAGCAGCGGAATGCAAAGACAGGCGAACCGCGGGGCGCGGGCTGGGCTGGCAGGAGCTCCTCTGATGCTCCTCAGGGCGAGCCAAGACTGCGGGGGACCCAGCCCGGGAGATCTTCAGCCCCGACCCGGCTCCCGCGGTGCCCCCCACGCCTTCCTCCCCACTCCCAGCCCCGCGCCACCCTGTCCATGTCACCCTTCTCGGGGGCACCAGCATCGGGTCTTCCACGTCCGCCACTCTTACACCCACGTAACCCAGCATCCCACTAGACTTAGCCTGCTCTACCTCGCTTCCGAGAGAAAGCGGTCCTCCCGTGGGCCACAGTGCGCATTCCCGGAAGCCTTCGCCTGCCCAGCCTCCTACCGGGACATTTAAAGGGACAGGCTCCGACTTGTGTGGTTCCTCTCTGGTAGAGCAGCGGAGGGCGGGGAAAGGAAGGCGTGGCCTTCCGGGTTGGCCCCGCCCCTACTCTCATCCTCCCGGGCTGCCCTCGCTGAGGGTCCGGCACTGAACCGATGCCCTGGGAAACCCCATCACCTTGTCGCAGAAGATCTGAAGTCGTTCCGTGTCCCCGGCGCATCCTCCCCTCCCGAGTCCTCGCGGGACCCTGGCGGGGCGCCGGTCACCTTGTTCAGGAAGCGAGGAGCGTCAGAGAGGAAGTAGGTTGGGCGACCGTGGGAGGAAGGCTGCTCTCAGGCCAAGACCTCGCTGCAATCCTCTGGCCGGGGACCGGTTTGCAACCGGCTCGCTTTCCCCCAGATCCGAGAAGTGGGTGCACCCCCACAGAGGCGTGGAGAGCCCCACAGCCTTTGCGCGCCGGTCCGCTGGTGTCTCGATCTCTCGTGGTGGGGAGTAGAGGAAGCTGTCAGACAGCCAGTCAACAGGTGGAGGGAGGGACAAGCTCAGTACTGCTTGGAAGAATAAAAATGAGGAGAAAAAGCAAAGCCCTAGAGAGCCAGAAAGCTCCAGTCGCTTTCGGAATGGACACAGTGCCCCAAAATAGAAGATTTAAAAAAAAAATCGACTTTTCCGTTCCGGCTTTCCAAGGAAGAAACTACACAAGTGGGAGACTATTCTGGGAGTAAGCCTTCAAGATATATGTCAAAGAGCTCAGGTTTCTTTTATATTCCTATTTTCATGCTAAACATTTTTGCTACCTGCATGTTCCAGACTGACCTGATCTCCCAGGCCAAACTTCGGCCTTTACAGTCTTGCCTCCGTCCTGTTTCTGGTCAAAGCAGAAAACCCTGGTGCCGCCTTTGCCCTCTCTATTATCAGCAGACTTCTGTGGATTGCCCTGCAGAATGCACCTAGCGCTAGGGTGCCCTTTCAACCTTCCGCGTAAACTTTTGGTGTATGTCCAGTCACCTCTTCCTGTTTCTTTGTCCTTACTCTGCGCACCTCCAGGAAACCTCCGCTCTAGGGATGAATACAGAAATATCTGCACTCCCGTCGGAACTTCCACTGTCTCTTCTCTCAACTCAGAAGATAAGCAATTCAAAGGCCCTGATCAATCCCTCATCTCTCATCGCGCCTGCTTCTTGCTGTTTGTCTGTGGAAACGGTTAGGTCTCGCACCCAGCACAAAAGGTTAACTGAGATACCTAATAACATATCAAAGCTGATGCTGGCCATCAGGTTCTCCCAGCATCCCTCAGTCCCTACCTCCAGTACCTGGCACACCTGCCCCCTTACCCTGAACCCTGGGTACTGGGTACCAGCCCAACTACTGGGCTTCGCATCCCCAGCTCCTCTGGCCCCTGTATAACCCAGCCTTTTGGGCTATGCCAGTCTCTTGGCCCAGGCCACCACTTTTGGTAGGCAGTTCCTCTCTTGCTCACCCTGCCCCTCTCTCCTCAAATGGCCAGGCTCAATTTGGCCATGTTTACTCTGGATCCTCGTAGATATCTCTGTCAATGCCTGTGGCTATGCTCTCCCTCGTATCTATATAAGCTTTCTCCTCAGCCCCTGAGGAGCAGTCATGTCTTCCCTTTTATTTCTTTTCTTCGTTCAGAAGCACCTCCAAATTCTGTGCTTTCTACTCATTGTCCCCAGAAACTTCCCCAGCAGGCACCGCATTGAATAGTGTCCTCACTCCTGTTCTTCATAGAGATCTCAGGAGGCCCACGGGGACTAACCCTTCACAGGTACTAACCCTTTTAAAGTTGCAGCTCCTTGCCACTCCATCTAACACTGCCTTACTTACTTTTCTGTTACGGTGGCAAAACACCATGACCGAGGCAAGGTTGAGCTTAGGGATCTAGATAAGAGCCTTCTCCAAGCACAGTGGGAGAGTAGGAATGGAAGCCTGCAACAGACAAAACGAGAGATAGAGCAGCGGCTCAGAGTTCACATCCTGAACCACAAGCAGGAGGCTGAGAGAGCTCACTGGACATGGCCCAAGACTTGAAATCTCAAAGGCTGTCTCCACTAACTCCTCCTCATCCTCCCAAACTTGGGAACCAAACATTCAAATGAGGAAGACTTGTGGAGCCTTCTCATTCAAACCACCATAGACACCATTTAATATACGTTAAGATGCATTCTTAGCTTGCTACCTTCCTCCTCCATTAGAATAAAACTTCTGTGTGTTCTTGTCTCCTTTTTCTCTCTATTTTTCTTAATGTTTTATTTCCAGGCACCTGAATAATATCAATCTCAAATAGGTGAATGGATGGCAGTATATTTTTAGTTATATCCAAAGGATTTTAAGTTGCCACTGAAGTAAATCAGTGTATAAGAAACATAGATGTTGTCCATGGCATCAAAAAGGTCCCTTTGCAGATGTATCGCGGACAAATGGAAGTGTTGTAGGGTGAGAGTCACTGGGAGAGCTTATGTGAAACATTTTTGTTTGGGTATGGGGGGGGTGTGCAGTCAGTAAAACATTTAAAATATGGCAAAAATATAAGTATGAGAGTATGAGAATAAGAAGGAAGGAGTGATGGAGGGGAGGAGCCAGAGTGGGAGGAACCCTAACACTTTACATAGGAGGAGACTTGCAATTGTTCTTGCTTTGTTTTGGTTTTGGTTTTTGGGGTGTGTGTGTGTGTGTGTGTGTGTGTGTGTGTGTGTGTGTTTTGTTCTGGTCCCAGTGTCTTTGGGCCCCATCTCAAACCAGTTAGGATTTATTCCGTGCCTAAGCAGCAGATCCAGCACAAATTCCATCCTTAGCAGTCAGATCCAGTCTTTATAAACTTTGAAATACTGCAGTAGCCAAGGAATCAAACTGATCCCGAAGGTTGTTAAGCTGCCCTGAAATTGCTTTAATATTTCCTGAAATCTGGGGGGACAGAGAGGTTAACTGATGCAAAGAAGGCTGCTGTTCAGCTGTTTTAGTTCTGAGTCCTGGAAACAATTTCTGAAGTGGCAAAAAGAGGGATGAATTGGATGGCCCATTAGTTCCCCCTTCAGAGGTCACTCAAACTGCTTTTAGGGGTTTGAGAGCACTGATTTCAGCTGCCTCAAGCTGAAGGGACCATAGTTAGGATGCCTCAGAGGATGCATCTAAGGAGACACAATAAAACATAACAGATGGGAAAGATCCAAAACGTAAGACAGGAGGTAGTAACTGTACAACCTTGTGTAGGCAGAGATTTGCTGTCCTGCCAGTCAGTTCTGTACCACCAGCCAGCTCCCAAATAACCACACAGAGACTTACTATTAACTATAAATGTTCAGTCGATAGCTTAGGCTTGTTAATACCTAGCTCTAAACTAGCATCTTAAATTAACCCATAGTTTTTATCTGCACTCTATCACATAGCAGTATCTTTTTTCAATGCTGGATGTTCATCTGCTTCCCCAGCCTCTTGCTGGTAGCTCTCTGTGACTCCACCCTTCTTCCCAGCATCCTCTTTGGATCTCCGGCCTAAACTCTTCCTGCCCAACTATTAACCACTTGGCCTCCTCTTATTTAAACAGGTCAGAAGGTGCCTTGGCAAAGACACATCTTTACAGTGTACAAAAAGGTTATTCCGTAGCAACCTTGTGGGAACACTAAGAGGTCAAGTTAAAGAGGAAAATTTTTAGATGGTGATTAAGGTAAGTTTTGTTTGGTAAGTCTAAGTGATCAGTTATTTCTAGGTCTGTGCTGAGGGAGACATCATAACAGAGAGCACATAGTGGAACAATTCTGCCAACCTTGTGGTGTGGGAGGGGCAGAGAGAAGGAGGGAGGAAAGAAAAGAGATAGAAAGGTAACAGGGTCCAAGCCCTTCAAGAGGCACCTACCTCTTTAGGTAGACCCCACCTCCTAAAGTTACCACCAATTCCCATTATCCCATTAAACTATAAATCCATCTGTGGATGAATACATTGATAGATAGCAAGAGAGCCTGCATGATCCAAACACCTACCAAATGCACCCTTGCCCCCTCAGAAAGCTACATAATGGGGGCAAAGACTTGAAAACAAGAGTTTTGGAGAATTATTTCAAATCCAAACCATACCATACAATACCAGTATCTATAACTTATAATCTATTAAAAAGCATAATTCACATTAATGTGTAGAATGAGTTTGATCCCTAACTTATGGAGCTGAAAATATAATGACAGAGATCAATGACAAACAAGCAACTAATTATATGTTTGTAAATATATTGATGTTTGTATATATTGATGATTGTAAATATATTGATATAGTGATGAGTGGTGATTAACTATGGGGAGGGTCAACCTGTTTAGATATGATAGACAATGAAGGCCAGAGAGACATGAATACTAGCATAGAGGAGGTATACAGATAAAAAAAATTACTGTTTTATAGCTTTTATATTTTACACCATTTAAATATATCATTTACTCCTAAGATTAATTATATCTAAAAAATGAAAACATACAGAAACAAACTGTTGAGAGAATAATATGTCTGTTTGTCTTGATTAATTGGGAGGAAGGATTATTGTCCTTTGAGAAAGAGGAACAGAGAAAACCCAAGAGAGGTAAAAGTAGGAAATGGCCATGGGACATAAGGAGAGAAAAGTAGAAGGTTAAGTGAGAGCTGGAGGACAAATGGAGAGGCCTGGTCTCACCAATCTGCCCCATTCTCACCAATCTGCTTCTGTTCTCACCAGCCTGCCCCTGTTCTCACCAGCCTGCCCCTGTTCTCTCCAGCCTGCCCTGTTCTTACCATTCTACCTCTGTTCTCACCAGCCTGCCCCTGTTCTCACCAGCCTGCCCCTGTTCTCACCAGCCTGCCCCTGTTCTCACCAGCCTGCCCCTGTTCTCACCAGCCTGCCCCTGTTCTCACCAGCCTGCCCCTGTTCTCACCAGCCTGCCCCTGTTCTCACCAGCCTGCCCCTGTTCTCACCAGCCTGCCCCTGTTCTCACCAGCCTGCCCCTGTTCTCTCCAGCCTGCCCCTGTTCTCACCAGCCTGCCCCTGTTCTCACCAGCCTGCCCCTGTTCTCTCCAGCCTGCCCCTGTTCTCACCAGCCTGCCCCTGTTCTCACCAGCCTGCCCCTGTTCTCTCCAGCCTGCCCCGTTCTCACTAATCTGCTTCTGTTCTCACCAGCCTGCCCCTGTTCTCACTAATCTGCTTCTGTTATCACCAGCCTGCCCCTGTTCTCACTAATCTGCTTCTGTTATCACCAGCCTGCCCCTGTTCTCACTAATCTGCTTCTGTTCTCACCAGCCTGCCCTGTTCTCACCAGCCTGCCCCTGTTCTCTCCAGCCTGCCCCTGTTCTTACCAGCCTGCCCTGTTCTCGCCAGCCTGCCCCTGTTCTTACCATTCTACCCCCGTTTTCACCAGTCTACCCCTATTCTCACCAGCCTGCCCCGTTCTCACCAGCCTGCCCCGTTCTCACCAGCCTGCCCCTGTTCTCACCAGTCTGCCCTCTGATCTAAGGCTATGCACAGCAGCTCCATAGACCAGTAACCCTGTGGGGCGTCTCCTAGCTACAGCCTCCAAAGTGGAATACTAGGAGACAGGAGGATCAGTCAAATAAAGGTCCTATCAAGAGAGTAGCCACAGAGAAGGGCCATGGATTCCACCATACACAAAACAGTTGTCATGCAGATCTCATGGACTCGAAGCTGTTTGAGGTCCTTGGATGCTTCATGAATAGTAGCTGGGTAGGATATGTCTTTAATGCTATATAAACTAGTTTATTATTTTAATGCTATATAAATTAGTTTACTTTTTTACTTTGACCAAAGATTTTTCGTAAAATTATTTTGGGGGGGTGTTTGTTTGTTTGTTCGTTTTGTTTTTTCAAGACAGGGTTTCTCTGTGGCTTTGGAGCCTGTCCTGGAACTAGCTCTTGTAGACCAGGCTGGCCTCAAACTCACAGAGATCCGCCTGCCTCTGCTTCCCAAGTGCTGGGATTAAAGGCGTGCACCACCACAGCCCGGCAAAACTTTTTAATAGTAGATGCCAGAGTAACGGTTCAGTGGTTAAGAGCCTCTCTGCTCCTGCAGAGGGCCCAGGTTCAGTTCCCAGCACACACAGGGTGGCTCACAGTCAGCAATAACTCCAGTTCCAGAAGATCTGGTGCCCTCTCCTGACCTCTGCAGGCACCAGACAGGCACACAGGACACATGCACACACGCAGGCAAAATACTCATACACATAAAGTAAAATTAAATGTTGCTTAAAAATGAAATAGTAAAATGGGTATTAATTGAGAAAAAATACTTTAATTTCAAAGCGAAGCCTTTTCTATTTCATTTTATAGTTTGATTCCTGAACATGCTCCCAGGTCTCTTTCTGATAAGCTTCTTGCTTTTCATAAATTTCACTCGGAAAATTCCAGGGTCAGAATGAAGTCTTCCAATGTCTGTTTGTGGGAGAGAGAAAAAAATAATAATCCTAGAGTGTGATTAGATGACTTTCAGTAGGAGGTGGACTGGAGTGCCAGTCGCTCTGCGCTCAGACGGCCGGTCGGTTTCCGGCATCTCCTGATAGGCATGACATACGTATGCACGACATACGGCTTTTAGGCTTTTAGATGCTGTCTTTGAAACTGTTGTAAAGTTGTAGGGTTTTAACTTTTTTGTTTGTTTTTGTTGTTGTTTACTTTTATTTATTTATTTATTTAGTTAGTTAGTTAGTTAGTTAGGCTTTTTTGTTGGGTTTTTTGTTTGTTTTTTTTTTTTGAGACAGAGTTTCTCTCCGTATTCCTGGCTGTCCTAGAACTCGCTCAGTAGGCCAGGCTAGCCTCAACCTCAGAGATCTGCCTGCCCCTGCCTCCCCGTGCTGGGCTTAAAGGTGTGAGCCACCCCCGCCCGACTGACCTGTTGCCAAGTTTTAATGAGAATTTTTCATATTTCAGGTAGAAGATGAACAAGCCCCTGACACCATCCACATACGTGCGCAGCCTCAATGTCGGACTCATTAGGAAGCTGTCGGATTTTATTGATCCTCAAGAAGGATGGAAGAAATTAGCAGTAGCTATTAAAAAGCCGTCTGGTGATGATAGATACAATCAGTTTCATATAAGGTAATAGGCTGTTTATTTTTCCTTTTCAGTCCTTCGTGTCATAAGAAGGATGCAGGCACAAACACTGGCTAATGTAACTGCCTCTTTCCGTCTTAGCATAATTTAATAGAAAATACAAATTCAGATTTAAATGTCGTGCTGTGTTTTGCAGTTAAAACTCAATGTCAAGATTCGTCTGACATAGAAGGAAGAAAATAAGTTATTCTTTTTTAAATCAATCTGGTAAAAACTCTAAAGCCCCGGCTCCCAAATTGTCCTTCCTGCAAATGTCTGACCACATGGGGGCAGACATCAAAAAGTACGAGAGAGAAGCCCAGCTTTAAATATGAAAACTAAGTTTTCAGTGATAGTTTGTTGATATTTCCATTAAAAATTGGAGATGGTTTGTTGCAGCAGCCGTTCTGGAGAGAAAGGGCCCTTCAGTACTGAGGAGGGACAGTCAGAACGGCACAATTCAGGTAGTTGGCCATGTGCAGTCGACAGTGCACGCTGGTTCCCACGAGGCTCATGGGGCCCAAAAGCATAGAAGTTTTGTCCACAAATTTTGTGTGCATTAATAAAGAAAAGGCTAACTGTTGTTAGTGACAGGGTCTTGTGTGGTTCAAGGCTGCCCTTTGACTCCTGATCCTCCTGCCTCCACCTCCTAAGTGCTGGGATGACTGGAATGCACCAACTTGAAAGAGGTACTTGTCTCACGAAGAAATTGGAAGCTCATCCTCCATCCAAAAGATCAAACAATGCCACCAGTTGGACACAAAGCTGCATTTTGTGCCTCAGGGTCCAATGCAGCTGTAGTTCTTTCCAAAAATGTTAGTTTTGATTGAAGTTACTCATTTAAATGTAGTCCCATAAATGGGGACAGTGATATGCAGACAGGATACCTGGTCTACACTGTAGGGCATGCCACACCTAGAGAGAGGCTGAAAGAGCATTCAGGAGAGCTCAGATGTAGGCAGATGCTACCAACTGGCCAACTGGTGATGAAGGTTCACCGTTGTTCACTGTGTTATTCTTTCAAAGTTTCGTTGAGTTTGAAATGTTTCCAAGTCAAATTTTTGGAAGGAAAACAAAATGAACTGTTTCGGTTAAGTTTTCAGTATTAACTTTCTAATTTTCTTATTTTTTATTTATTTTTGGTTTTGAAAGACGGGGTTTCTCTGTAACTTTGGCGTCTGTCCTGGAACCAGGACACAAACTCACAGAGATCCTCCTGTCTCTGCCTCATGAGTGCTGGGATTAAAGGCATGTGCCACCACTGCCCGGTCTAATTTTTAATTTTAAAGGAATTAAATGAAAAAATAAAGATGTTTTCCTTTCTATTTAATTAAATATACTTAGGATCAAAATGTAAGCACATTCTGCTTTATGAAGCAGGCTTTTCATTTAAAATTATACAGCTAGAAGACTGACTATGTCATGTAAGGTGCTTGTAAGACTTTGCAATACAGCGAAGTGGTTTAAAAGTTTACACTTTGGCTAGAAGAGCTCAGAATTTGGACTAGACTCGGGTATATTTGAGTGAGCTGTATGGCTCCCATATGACTGCTCTACCCATCCCAGTCTCACTGGCTTATGGTAACACTCTCAGCTGTCTCTCTAGAGATATCCTGTAGCTCTCTGAGGAAATATTTGGTAAATAATATTAACCAGGTGTATTTGACTGGCATATGTGTATATGTGTTTATATGTGCATGTTAAGTATACATGCTTGTGGAGGCCAGAGGTCACTGTAATATTAAGTTGGGGGTGTCACCCCAGCCCTCTAACACCCCTATATCTAAGAAGTCTGAGATGATTGGAAGCCCCTGGCCTGGGAGTTGCCCCCATCCAGACTCCAACTCCCAGCCTGCCAAGCACTAACCCCTTTCCCCTGGGAGGGTCAGGACCACTCCTACAGGCTATGTAGACTTGCTCCAGAAAAAGGAACATGTGGTTTTGGGTTTGCCCCACCATGCTGTCTCGGTCCACCCGAGAGTGCCACATTTATTAAACATGGGCATTTTAATTGGGTCTAATCTGGTTTGATTGGAGTTTCTTGCATTGGCAAAGAGGCTTTTATTAAGATTAAACCAGTCACCAAGAGGTGCCTTGCACACTCTCCATCCATCTTGGTTTTTTGAGATAGGGTATCTCATAGAGATGGAGCTTATGAATTCATCTAGACTATGTAAACAGTGAGCATTAGGGATATGCTCATCACTGCCTGTCCAGTCCAATATCAGAGCAGGTGCCCTGCCCTGGCTCTTTGCCTGGATGCTGGGGGAACTCAGGTCCTCGGTCTTCATACTGACAATGGCAAGTGTTTTACCAGCTGAGCTATCCCCCCCTGCCCCAAAAGTTAGCTTACATTTGTTTAAAGTTCTTTATTTTATTCTATGACTATGTATGCTTTGCCTACATGTATGTGTTTGTACCACATGCGTGCCCATGCCCGTAGAGGGCAGAAGATGGTTTTAGATCTTCTGGAACTGGAAATACAGGTGGTTGTGAACTGCCCTGAGGCAGCTGGGAACCAAATCCTGATCTTCTGTAAAGGCAGACAGTGTTCTCAACCACCGAGCATTCCTCCAAGCCCAGTTGTTACCTTGAATTGTCATCATCTTTGGCTCCTTTTCTGCTGCGTCTTTCTCGTAGTTGGGATTCCTATCAGTCCTCTCCCACTCCCACTCCTTGGAGGGGGATGCGGGAGTGGCCCATCAGAGCCTATGTTAAGATGAACTCTTTGTGTGCTAGTTTTGTCTTTTGCTTTGCAGGAGATTCGAAGCCTTACTCCAAACTGGGAAAAGCCCCACGTGTGAGCTGCTGTTTGACTGGGGCACCACAAACTGCACAGTTGGGGACCTTGTGGATCTTCTGATCCAGATTGAGCTTTTTGCCCCTGCTACTCTCCTGTTGCCGGGTAAACTGGGTGTGGCCAGAGTGACGAATGGCAGAAAGTGAAGTGTTGGTTTTTCTTTTGAGTCTTTAATGGGATGAACAGACCTGACACTTGAGTCCTCTTTATTCTTTCAGCTCTCCCTAGCTTTTAACCATTGTAGATGCCCGATGCTCTGGGCTGTGCCGCTAAATTGATAAAAGCTCAGGGGTGGAGTCTAATCCCCTCAGAGTCAGGTAGTTTTTGTGCCAGGAGGGTTTATTTAGAGGGATGAAGAATGCATCCTGTAGAATAAAAGAACTTACTCTTTTAAGCCATGTCTCCCTCTAGACCCCCATTCGGCTTCACCTTGAGAGGACTCTCATCACGGCTTCCTCTGTGTTACTGTCCTTCTGTCCTCCTCATTACCCCAACTTCTTTTCTCTCTCCCGCTAGTTGATCTCGGCCTTTACTGTGTAAAGAATCTCTTAGAGTTCTTGTTGAACATGTAGATTCCTGGGCCCCATGTCACACCTTCTGTTTTGGTTTTTTTCTTTGTTTGGTTTTGGATTTTTGAGACAGAGTTTCTCTGTGTAGCCCTGGTGCTGTCCTGGAATTTACTCGGCAGAGCAGGCTGGCCTCCAACTCACAGAGATCCACCTGCCTCTTCATCCCGAGTGCCGGGACTAAAGCCATGCCCCACCACTGCCTGGAATCACACCTTCTTAATAGCACTCATAGCACTGAGTTCAATGTCTAAAATGTCTTTGGTTCCTTCTGCCCCCGGCCCTGTGTGTGTGTTGTATCTGTTGTTGTTGTTGTTTGTTTGTTTGTTTGTTTGTTTTTGAGACAGAATCTCATCTCATGTAGCCCAGGCTGATCTTGAATTTACTGTGTAGTCAAGACCAAAGTTGAACTTGATCCTCCTGCCTCCCCCTTCAACGTGCTGGGATTCCAGGTGGGCACCATTGTGCCTGCTAGTTGTCTATTCTTAAATAACTACCGTGTTTCCTAATTTCCTAATGGTTCTGGACCACTTTTGTGAACACGATCACTCTGTCTATTCATCTTTATCACAATGGACAGCATCATCCCGGGTATCTCCTTGTGTTTAGTGAGGATGCTGGCCAACATCTATAGAGAAGCTGCATGTGAGTTCCTGCTTGTCTTAGTTAGGGCTTCTGTTGCTGTGAAGAGATACCATGAGTACAGCAACTCTTATAAATGAAAACATTTTGTTGGGGTTGGCTTACAGTTCAGAGGCTTAGTCTATTATCATCCTGGCAGGAAGCATGGCAGCAGGCAGGCAGACATGGTGCTGGAGAGGTAGCTGAGAATTCTACATCCCAATCATCAGGAAGAGAGATGCTGGGTCTGGTTTGAGCATCTGAGACCTTGAAGCCCACTCCCAGTGACACGCTTCCACCAACAAGGCCACACCTCCTAATAATTCCTCTCCTTATGATCTTATGGGGGTCATTTATATTAAAATCACCATACTGTTTTTTCACATAGAAAAACTTTTTCTTACACAGAGACTAATTTTGTCTTCTCGTTCGGCAGATGCTGTTCCCCAACCTGTCAGCAGTATACCGTCTAGAGAAGCTGCAACGGTGGCACAGACACACGGGCCCTGCCATGAAACAGTCAGGACATCGGTGACGCTTATGCCAAGGCTAGAGCAGAGCTGTGGTCAGCCTGACTCCTCAAGCTCAGACGACAAAAGTTCAGCATCCAGTGACACTGGTACCCGTAAGTGATGCTGCCTGTTCTTTCCCAGTGGTGGATTTTCCGTTATGGTGACTTAAAGTAACCCTCTCCTGTGTGTGTTGTGGGCAGAGGCACGTTGGCAGGATCCTTAGATGTGTGTCTCCCTTTACATTTATATGATTTATTTATGCATTGACATTGCATCAAGGACTATTCTTTCAGTGACTTTAAGCAACGGGACATGCAAACAGTCACAAAAACTAAAAGGAAACGAGTCAACATGGTGCTGTACGCCTGTGCTCCCAGTACCTGGAGGGTAGAAGCAGGACGGTGAGGAGTTCGAGGATGGCTTTTGCTGGCTAGCAAACTCAAGGCTAGTCTGGTCTGCATGATACCCTATGTCAAAACTAAATTTATAAAGAAAATAATTCTTAAGTGTGACTACAGCTTTAGAGGAATAGACTGAACTTCACCAAATAATTATTTTGGGTGGAGATGGAGTGTTTGGTACCAACTGTAATTATCATGATAAAGCCTACGGTCTGTATTTCGTGAGTGTGTGTGTGTGTATGTTTGCATGTGTGTGTGTGTGTGTGTGTGTGTGTGTGTGCGTGTGTGTGTATGTAATCTTCAGAGTGAGAAAACAGCAGTTACTAAAGCCACATTCCTTTGCTTGAGCACCTCCCCCCTTGCCTTGTGATGCGCTAGGTTTCCACAGTTTTTCATTTTATGAGTTGAAGAGCATCACCAACGACTTCGATGAGCGACCTGTTTCTGTCGGCGGCAGCAGAATGGGAGAGGGAGGCTTCGGAGTGGTGTACAAAGGCCACATGAAGGACACGGCTGTGGCGGTGAAGAAGCTGGGAGCGGTAAGCTGTGCTCCCTCCTCCTATCAGGGCAGGCCGTCAGTCAGCCTTCAGGGGTGTATTATCTCCACACCTACTCCCTCTAAGAGGACCCCATCCTAAGCCTATCTCTTATCATGTAAGAATCTATTGAGGACTGTGGAGCCTCGCTTTAGGAAAGTGCTTATGGACCCAGACATAGAATCATGTTTATAATCATGGTAGGTTCACAAAAATAAGTTAATAAACTTTGCATCATGATGCTTCATACTTAATATAGATTCAAGATAAGATACTAGGAAAATGTTATCTGGATACTTTTGTATACATGTCCCATTTAAAAATACCATTTAGGTGCCAGTGAGATAGCCCGACAGCTAGAGGTCCTTTGTTGGGTCCATGGGAGTCGTGCAGAGATGGGGGACAGGCCATCAAAGTCTACTACACCAGAGGCAAACTTTGTTCCAGGTTAAAAAATTAAAAATTAAAAAAATAAATCTCTATGGGGCACAAAAATTTGAGACCAAAGCCAGAGATTGACTTGTATGACTGTAGCAATGGGCTGTTTCCCAACACCCCTTTTTAGAGCAAAAAGCAAGCATTAAGCATGAACAAAAGAATTTTTACAAGGTAAAACTCAGATACAAATTACCCTTCTTTACCATTTCCATTAACAGAGGGTTTTTTTTTGTTGTTGTTTTTGTTGTTGTTGTTTGTTTGTTTGACTTTTTTTCTTTTTTTTTGGTTACATTAGTGTCTGTATTTAAGCCATTGTTCTTCCCTGACTGTCCTGGACAGTGTTTACCAAAGCTCTGCACTTCTGATACTGCCAGTTTTGCATAGCAGGGACAACACATAACCCCAAAGTCACATACACCCCATCCTTTAAGGGTTAACTCAGCTCACATCTGTTGCTGGTCATGAGCTGACCAGAGGGATGCTCCAGCCTTGCAGACAGAGCTATGGGTTGGAAAGCAAAGTAACCCACTGTTAATAGTTAATCCTTAAACTGCTAAAAAAAAAAAAAAAAAAAAAAAAAAAAAAAAAAAAAAAAAAAAAAAAAAAAAAGTTGCTAACCCCCATATGTTCACTGTGGCATGTGCTAAATGTAATTTTAATAATTATACACACACCACACACATATTTGAAACAGGGTTTCTCTGTGTATTCCTGGCTCTCCTGGAATTCATTGTGTAGAACAGACTAGCCTCAAACTCACAGAGATTCATCTACCTCTGCCTCCCAAGTGCTAGGATTAAAGGCGTGCACCTCCACGCCCAGGAAAAAAAAAATCAATTTCCTTCCCTGTCCTTTGTTTCTATTTCTGTAAGGGTTTTTTACCTTTAGTTATTGATTAATTATATTATCAATCTGTTATCTCTTTAAAATGTCAATATCCTGTGTATGTATCTAACACAGGCATCCCTTGTCATTTATGTTACAGGTGCTTTCCTAGGCTTTGATTCTCTTTTTCTATTCACATTTGCTTTCACGATGTTACACAGAATTCTTTTTTAAAAGTTACTCTGTGGTGAAATTTTATGTTTCATTTTGTTCCTACCACAACCTAGAAAGGCTTATATATTTTTCCTTTCTCTAAAACAGCATGGACCTAGGGTAAAGTACTTGTATTTCTAGATGTCAATAATTCTATAAAACAAATAGCGTAAGACTGTGGGGAACAAGTGTACCCCTGTATTAATGAGCATTCATGACAGGAGGATGGCCAGGTCAAAGACCCCAGTGCCTCAGGCTCGTGGGAACGGAAGGGCAAGGCCTTTCTCTGGTCTGAGTATGGGTGTTGACCAGTGGTTGGCCTTCAGCTAAAGCCAGACAAGTAAAGGTCTCCGCCTCTGTTTCCTCAGCCCAGGTGACTGCAGCCTGAGGCTGCTCCCCTACAGAGAACCCCCTAGGAAGCGCTGTACTAATAAACACACTGAGTTTCTGGGTTGCTGGTGTGGCTCTGTCTCCTCAAGTGGACCGCTTGATCCCAGCTTTGTGTTACTTATGTCTGTCTGTCTGTTTCTCTTAGGCTCCTGTGGCTCTCTGTCAGATTGCTTAGGACCCAGCTGTGCAGACGATAGCAAGACATTATTTTTTATTCATTTTACTGTACTGTTATTGAACCCAGCGTCTTATACATGTTAGGCTAGTGCTTTACCCCTGGAGCTACATCCCAGCCCTCTTCGTGTCTCACTTGGTCAAAGGTCACGCTGGCTAAGCCACCCTTCAACTCCTCTGGAAGTCAGGCAGGTCTTGAACTTGACGTTCTCCAGCCTCAGCCTCCCAGATATCTGAGACCACAACCCTGCGCCACCAGACTTGGTTTACCGCGTGATTTTAAAGTAGGCGAATCAGCAGAGGACTCTTTCTTAACCCTCCTTCCAGCTCTAGGGGCCACAAGGTTATTGTATTGTGTTACAATATAAGTTTTTATCTTTCTAGATGGTTGAAATCAGCACTGAGGAACTAAAGGAACAGTTTGATCAAGAAATTAAAGTAATGGCAAAGTAAGTGTTGACATGTCAATGTGGCGTGGGACATGGCATGGGGCAAGGGGACCTGGTTTCGCGCAGATTTGGGTGTGTTAAGATGCCGGGTTGAGGCCAGCACTATTCATTCTCTGATTATATGATCACGTATACTGTATGCCAGCAGATTAAAAGTGGTCAGTGTTTTACATCACAGCAAAGTTACAGAGGATTTGAAGAGTTTTCTGTTGTCAGGTGTTCTAGAATTCCCGACAAGATCAGTTGTAGTTGATTAAAAAAAACCAACTATTTATAAATCTGGGAACGATGGTGCCCTCCTGTAATCCCTGCACTTGGGAGGTTGACAGAGGAGGTTTGTGAATTCTAGGACAGGCTGTGCAATGTTGCAAGTTCCAAGAGAGCCAGAGCTATAAAGGTAAACTCTGCCTCAATAATAAATAACTAAAAACAATAACTACTTATAAAATAACAGACCCTCAGAGAAGCTAAAATTCAGAGGGAACTAAGGGAATATTATATACAAAGATGTTGAGAATATATTGATGCAGAATGTCGGAAATTATTGGGCTCCATAAGGAAGGAGACAAGAGCCAAATCAGAAAATGTAGTGATTACGGTGACTGGCACTTGTATGATAGTCACTGTTCCGTCTGCTTCATGGACTCATTTAATTCCAAGAACAATGAGTACAACCCCCCTTTATTTATTTATTTTTTTAAAAAAAACAAGATTTAGAAGTGTGAAATAACTTACCCAAAGTCATGTCACCAGCAAATAATTAGTGTTAGGAATTTTTGGAGATGGCTTCTGGTCCAGATATAGCTAATTCCAGAGCTTTTGATCTGAATCCTGAGGAGGTTATTAAACAATCGCCATGAGGCCATCGCTATCCATCACCCACTCCATTGTTGACCTCATAAAATAGCTAACAGACCGAGGTTAGTTCATGTGCAGTAAAAATGGCAAATGGCGCACACGGAAACCCCTGTCAACGCTCTCTCCAGACTTGATCTCCTCATCTCTTCCTCCATTGTTGGTTCTGCCACTAACTTGAGGCCCAGGTGGTGAAGTGTCTGCCACGAGCAAGGCTCTGGGCTTGGTCACCAGCACCTGAAACGGCGCTTGGTGTCACATACTTGCCCCCCACCCCCAGTCGATTTGCTGCATCCCAGCCTCTCCTGTTATGGTTAAGTGTCTCTTTCTGCACCTTGCTATCAGAATGACCAATCCAGATGTCTGACCTCTGTCCACTGGGGAGTAAAATGGTAACATTGTACAGCTCAGTGAAACAAAACAGGTGAGCTACCACCTGCTTTAGAGACTGGAGAAATTTGTTAAACATTATCTAGTTGTATTTAAAATGTGCAAATTTGGTGGAAATGGAGAATTTATTGAATCAGCTTACACTTCTCAGAGTACGTCTAAGAGCAGAAGTCTGATTTTATTCCAGGGCATGCAGAATTATAGATGGCGTGGAATGAGCAAAATGAGCACAGCCTGAGTGGAGCGTCTCTCATGGGCCGTGTGTGCTTCGGGTTAGCCCAGCTCTTCATTAACGCCCACAGCATCCGTGTGGTGCGGCCCTGTCACGCCACCACCATGTTCTGTATGCAGGGAAGGACTGAGGCTGAGGTTGCCAGCATGCCTTGTGTCGCAGGCCCAGGAGGTGGCAGGACTGCACTTTCAGCTGAGGCCTGTGGCCTTGTTATCCTGTGGCTTTTGTAGTCATTTCTCTCCAGTGTAACAAAGAACTCAGATTGTAGACAAGCATGTGATGGAAGACTGTAAGCATGACAGGTAAACGTGGCTGAAGACGTTCCTGGAAAGCAGTGCCTTGGGTGTGTTAGAGTCGTGTTGTGCTAGGGATTTGTCCGTGCTCTAAGTTTCCAGATCTTGAAAAGGCGCTGAGCAAAGATGAGCATCGGCCTCGTCCTTAGCTAACCTGTCTCGGGTTCTGTTGATCTGATCAAAGGTGGCTACAGAATCGGGAGAGGTTCGCTTCTGCTATGGATCAGTAGTACTGAAACAAGAACCGTTTACAGAAAAGAATCCTCAATTTCAATGAGCCTGTTAGCATGTTATGAACATCTGTCAGTTACATATGACATGTATATTACATATTACATACACACATAGTTATGCGACTATCTCTTTGATCTTTCTGCTAAAACTCTTAACTTGAGTAACTGCTAGAAATATTTAGTCTAATCATTTCGCACGCTGCCTCACTTCACAGGTGTCAGCACGAGAACCTGGTGGAGCTACTCGGCTTCTCAAGCGACAGCGACAACCTGTGCTTAGTATATGCTTACATGCCCAATGGCTCCTTGCTCGACAGACTGTCCTGCTTGGTAAGACCCCTGTCACCAGACTGTCTCACTTTCCGTTTCTGTGTTATATTGCTAATGTTCACATTTGGTGGGGTTCCCTGAAACCACACTGAACTTACTGTCCCCTGTTCTGTAAAATGATGCAGTTTATGTGTTGACAGGTGTTGCAAATTTAAACCACAAAAGCATCGGCAAAGGCCAGATGTTGGCGATGGTCTTGTGCATTTGTATTTTCAAGGGAGGAGTGCAGCCTCCACTTAATCTTATGTGAGATTATTTTTTTGCAAGCTTTAAAAAATGTAACTCTAAATTCTTAGTGATATGGTTAGTGGTACAAAAATGACGATAGAGAATACTATTATGGGTTTTCTTTGGACTTCTTTTTTCACCTAAACCACTGTTTAAAATCTGTTTGTTTCTTCACAAGGATGGCACTCCACCACTCTCTTGGCACATGAGATGCAAGATCGCTCAGGGTGCAGCTAATGGCATAAGTTTTCTCCACGAAAATCATCATATTCATAGGGATATCAAAAGGTAAATCTACTGTGAAACTCCGAAAGCCATCTTTAAAGAATCATTTTCTTGCCCTTTTCTTTCGTGCATCTTAACGGATAGGGGTGAGACTTTTCCCGTCCCTGAAAAGCCCTTTGCGCTCCACACACCTGTCATCTCCCTTGTTTCAAGCCTCTGGCCTGCTTCTCTGGGGAGGTGAGGGTTTTCCTGGCTTTCGGATCACTGGTCTCTCCTGAATCACCTTCATCTCCGTGGTTATTCTTCAGTCCTCTCCACCCTTATGTTATTTACCTAGTTAGGCGTCTACTTGCTACATGCTAGGCATCGTACATGATATGGTTAGCAGATATAGCTCCAAGCGGAGTTCAACATCAATCACAACATAATAGAGTTTTCTTTCTTTCTTTCTTTCTTTCTTTCTTTCTTTTTTTTTTTTTTTTTTGTTTTTCGAGACAGGGTTTCTCTGTAGCTTTGGTGCCTGTCCGGAACTAGCTCTTGTAGACCAGGCTGGCCTCGAACTCACAGAGATCCGCCTGCCTCTGCCTCCCAAGTGCTGGGATTAAAGGCGTGCGCCACCACCGCCCTGCTCATAATAGAGTTTTCATGTTTATTAGTGTTCCGTGTTAATATAAAGGAGGATTTTGAAGGAAATGGTGTTGAAGCGAAGGCCTGAACAATGAGCAGGAAACAAGGAAGCACAGTTTGAGGGTAACTGTGTAGTCGATGACGAAAACATTCTAGAGAACACAAGCCTATAAGATGGATGTTAGGAGGGAATTTGAGGGCGGCTGGAGAGATGGCTCAGCTATTAGGAGATCAGCGATTAAGCTGCTCCTCCAGAAGTCCTGAGTTCAATTCCCAGCAACCGCATCTCTAATGGGATCTGGTGCCCTCTTCTGGCACAAAGGTGTACATGCAGCTAGCACTTAGGGGTAAAATAAATAAGAGAGGAAGGGAGAGAGAGAGACCATGATGAGTTGCGGGAAGTAAAATGGTTACAGTGTGACTGACTGGTGTGCAGAAAGTGAGGGGTAGAAGTCGTGAGAGGAAATTAAACAGAAGAGCAGGAGTCAAGTCTTATGGGGCCTGGCGGGCAAAGGCAAGGGTTTGATCATAGCTGTGATGAGATGCTCTTGAAATACAAAACTACAGCAGTACTTGTAAGCCTTTCCATTGCTGTGACCCTTTAGTACAGTGCCTCAGGTTGTGGTGACCCCCACTATAAGATTATTTTCTTGCTACTTCATAACTAGTTATGAATCATAATGTAAATATCCAATATGCAGGATATCGGACAGTAACCCCCGTGAAAGAGCCGTTCGACCCGCAAAGGGGACAGGAGAACTGCTGGATGACAGTATCGTATTCAAGTTTTACAAATCACTTTGAGTCGAGCATAGAGAGCGGTTTAAAACCAGGAGAAATTAATAGATCGCTGTAGACATCTTGATAGACACAGTTCATATGAGCAGAAGTGAACAGACACAAGTGCTTAGTGTGGCAAGACATGTTTGTATCTTAGCTGTAGAGGGCCAGGAAGAGGGGAGAAATCAGTAACAGCCTTGGAACTTACAGCATCCACAGTTGCACGCTGGAATAATTGGGACGTGACTCACTTATATAGAAAGAACAGGAAGAGGTTCCAGTTGGGGGGGAGGGGCGCTTTGAGAAGGGTATACATTCTGTGTTTGATGTTCTTTTAAGAGATGGAAGTAGCAAGGCTAAGCGGACAGTCTGACATAGAGATTTGAAGGTAGAAGTCTGAGCAGAGTGTATAGCACTTGCATGAATATGATGCTTGAAGAGTTATCATTTAATTACTGAAATATATAGCATAAGAGCCCAGGAGTAAACCCCAAGGACCCCTAAAATGTAACGACCAAGCAAAAGGAAACAGTCCCCAAAAGACATCTAATAAACTATATGAACACATGGGTAGGTGAAACCTTATACATGGACCTGCACCTCCCTTCAAGATACAGAAAAGAAAGGAAAGCAGTGATCTCTCTCTTGCTGTCATCTAACTGACTGATTTAAACACATTTCAGTCTTCTATGCTGCATCTATAAAATGACATACATTGTAACTAAGACATATACAGTGCATGTATGTATATGCAAATGTACACATATACCTCTAAGAACCTACTTGACCTTGTAGGTAAGAAAAGTTGGCTTCCTTCAAATTTAAATTTTTTTCCAGTGCAAATATTCTACTAGACAAAGACTTTACCGCCAAAATATCTGACTTTGGGCTTGCGCGGGCTTCTGCAAAGTTTGCCCAGACAGTCATGACCAGTCGAATCGTGGGCACAACGGCTTACATGGCACCTGAAGCTTTGCGAGGAGAAATAACGCCCAAATCGGACATCTACAGCTTTGGCGTGGTACGTGATCACTCTCTTTATTGGTTTGCTTTGATTTCTTTAGAGTATGTGTGCATGCACGTGGCACAGCATACACATGCCAAGAGCCAGAGGGCAGCTTGCAGGAGCCGGTTCTCTCCTTCCACCATCTTGGTTCCCAGGGATCAAACTCGGGCTTGGCGGCAAGTGCCTTTAATTGCCGAGCCCTCATTCCAGCCCCTGATTATTCTTTTAAAATAGTGAATTAAATTAGAATGTTTTAGTACATGTATTTTGTTTAGCTCTCCCATATAAATATATGAACGATTTGTATTAGCCTATAGTTACAGAAAAAGGTTTATGAACAATTCCCAATATGCAAAATTTTTAGTTGAATTTTTTTTCATTGCTGCAAGGGATGATTGGCTTACCACGAATTCAAATGAAGCTTAAATCGAGTCAGAGCACCAAGTTAGTCACACCACATAATACATACTTTTCTTCTCTTGCCTTTTTTGTCATTTTATCATCTCACAGTCAGAAGTGGAGAAAGAGGGGTAAGATTAATGGGGCATCCTCTTAGTCTTCCAAACAGGCTTCACTTATGGAACCAGAACTCTATTCCACGCCACGTTAAGACACAGGGTTGTGAAATGTGGCTACTGGTTGGAAAATAAGATTCTCCTGAGAGCCCCATAATAACGAACAGACCTGGAGTTCCCAGAACACATGTGCAGTACAGCTCTTTGATATCGGCGTCCCTAGGCTTTATACAGGAATTGCTGGGTTGATTTCTGTCAGCATCCACGCTCCATGCCAGTGGTTAGCACAAGAAGAAAGCCTTGCCCAGCGTGGTCAAGTCCCTGGCTCATCCACTTTCCTTCTAACTCCCACTTGATGTCTTCGTGTTTTGCTAATGGATCTTTTTGTCTCCCTAGGTTTTATTAGAGCTAATCACCGGACTTGCGGCTGTGGATGAAAACCGTGAACCTCAACTACTAGTAAGGAATCCATTTTTATCAGTCTTTTCCTCTCCTGCCTTTGTGGTCTTAAGTTCACGTGTGTAAATATGGCATGTAGAAATGCCCTCTCTGACTGTGTGTGATGGCGTGGTGAAAGTGCATGCTGTGTGTCCATGTCGCTGGGATGTATTTGTGAAGCCTGAAGAGATTGTTTCTATAGTCTCTGTTCCGGTGTCTTTGTAGCAAAATGAGAAGAAAGCCAATTCGCCTATGGCTTATTACTTTCTAGGGTATCCAAACCCTGGGTGGCAAAATCATTTTCATATCATAGGAAAAAACTTACAGATTTCATTCATATCTGCATAAGAATATAAATGCTGGTAAAACTTCATGATTTCATTGTGGAGTGTTTTACTTGCAAAGTTAAAACACTTTCTTCCTTTACTACTATTCCTACCCTCCTCATTTTTATATTGAACATTTGATTGATAGTTTATAAGTAGATGAGTTAAATGATAGCTAAACTTTAGATAAATTACACCACATCCTTTAAAGATTATATGCATCTTTAAAGATATATATAAAAACATGTATCTTTACATATATATCTTTATACATATTTATAAAGAATATATATGTGATACTTATATATAAGGACATATATGTGTGTGTCTTTGTATATATCTCTAAAGATATATTATTATTTATAATTTTTTTTACATTTTTTAACAACTATACTCCTTTTATCCTAATTTATTTGTATGCCCTATTGGTACAAACTATTCAGACAATAGACATTTACTAGATCATGTACGAGAATTAGGATCAGACGATCAGAAGGTATAACTTACTTGTTCAGTCTTGATGCCAGGGCTGGAGAGATGGTGCAGCAGTCAAAAGGTCATTCTCCTTTTTCAGAGGGCCAGGTTTATTTCTCAACACCCATGTTAGGTGTCTGACAACTGCTTATAACCTTAGCTCCAGGTCTGAGGCCTCTGACCTTCACAGGTACCTGCATACTTGTACACATAGCCACATACAAAAACACACACATGCATACAGATAATTAAAATAGGACTTTGTCAAAGGGCAACAAAAGTCTTAGTGGCAAAACTAAATTGAGTAAACTGTAGCGTGTGAGATTGTTACAAAGGTCCACCATAAAACAGAAATGTCCATGGTCTGTTGAAAATGCAATATTAAAATAATATATGAAGTATATTTATATTAGAAGATATTTATGAGAATAGTCTAATGGTATTCAGAATGTTATAATGGCAAATTTTAAAAAATTATGTTAACCAGAAATATAAAGTTCTCTGTCCCATCAGTTACAGGAGCTCAAGAGAGAAGCCTGAATTGGAGAGGCCATATTTAAGCTGTTACTATATGGACATAGATAAAGTTCGTGGCAGGGGTTGGATTAAAAACATAAACATTATCTGTGCACAAGCATGTGCACACAAACTTAAAAAAAAACAACCAGCAGACTTCCCCACACAGTACATCCCTTGAGTGTACCCCAAGTCTCAGAAATGGGACTGCTGTATGCTCTTCTTCAAAAGGATCTTCATTTTTTTCATTAAATTTTTTCATACAATAAAAAAATAAACATTAGAAAAAGAGAGGCCAGGAAGAAGTTCAGCATGTAAAAGTGCTGCCACCTAGCCTGACCTGCGACCTGACTCCTTCAAGCTGTCCTCTGACCTCCACCTCCCACAATAAATAAATCAATGGGAAAATCATTTCTTATAGGAGAGGTTAGCAGTGCAGGTTGGTGCTGGTGGGGAGAACTCTTTCCTAGCTTGCACAAAGCCTTGAACTGGATTCCTAAAACCAGAAAAACAAGACAAACAAAGTCCCACAGGGCCAGAGAAGAGATAAGGGACTAGGGGTGACAACCTGTGCTTCCTCAGCTTCAGCTTCTGACATAAAGACCTCTAAGGGTCTCCTACCAAAATCCTCCTTCCCTTCAGTAGGTGTAAAAGTCACCACTTTGGTTTGAATAGAAATGAAACTCTGTGAGTCACAAGTTTGCACTGTGTCATTTAACCGTGAAAGTGTAAAAATCAGGGAACAGTACACTCTGGAGTGCGGGTACGGCTGGCAAGTCCTAAGACTGTAATGTCGGGTACTTGTGATCTGTCTCTCAGTGAGCCTACTTTCCACTGCTGTGTCATTTCACAATCCTTCTTTTGCAAGGGTTTTGGAATGTTATGTTCCACTCCTCGCTCGTAATCCTTCCTTTCGATATAAATCTATTTGAGCTACTACAAAACATACCATAAACCAGGTGTCTTAAAGTGACAGAAAGAAAGCCTCTCAATGCAGCCAGAAGTCTGAAGTCAAGTTTTGATAAGCCCACGAGTCCCTCCTGAGAGTCCAGGGAGACTCTTCCTGCCTCTCCCAGGTTCTGGTGGCTTCTGGTATCTTCGGCTTATAGCCCTGTCACTACCAGCTCTGCTGCTGGTGGTCGCAATTTCTTCTTGGTCTTTTTCTTTTTGTCTCATATATACACACACACACACACACTTGTCATTGAAGTTAGAGCTTGCCTGGATAACTCAGGATTTACTTACTGTTTTATTGCTGTGATAAAACACCAACCCACCCCCGAGTGTAGAAGAGTGTATTGGTGCTTATGGTTCCAAAGTCTCTTGCAGGGAGATAGGGTAACAAGTGGCTGGTGTGACAGCGGGAGCAGGAAGCTTGCAGCCCATATCTCAAACCACAAGCTCAAATCAGAGTGAACTGGAAGTACAATGAGGCCTTAAGCCCTCAAAGCCCATCCCCACCCCTCTGCAAGTGATAAACCTCCTTCACAAGGCTTCACCTGCCAAGCCTACCCAAACAGCACCACCAATAGAAGCCTGCGGTGAACATTCCATCCAAACCACTAAACCCAAGATGACCTCTCATTTCAGATGTCCACAGAGATCGATTTTTTCACGTGAGGTCATATTTACAGACTCCAGGAACCAGGACATAGACATACATAGATACATGCTTCTGGGGCCACCACTCATCTGACCGTTCAGCCCACAGCACCTCCTCCTCCTCCTCCATCGCCCAGTCTCCAAGTCCTTCTTTCTCTTTGGTTCAGCATTCTGAGTTCCTGTGAATAAGCCCAGGGTGTCTAAATGCAGAAGGTGAAACAGTATTCTCGGAAATGATCATGCAGGAAGCTGATGCTCCTGAACTGGCAGGTGCTGCCAGGAGGAATGCGAGCAGTTCGCTCATCACAGAAAGACGAGAATTGTAAAGCAGATGGGTAGGAGTGGACGGGAATAACACTAGTAAATCAGCGATGCCTGCGCGCGCGTACATTTCCTGATCTAACGTCTGTCCCACGTGGCTTCAGTTCCTAAGGAGGTTATGAAAAAAATAGGAAAATAAGAGTTCAGGTTCTTACAAAAATAGACGAATTTAAATCATTTACATCTGCGTTCTGATTTCTTTCATTTTGGAGCTTTTGACCAAGTTTTCATGCCCGTGTTTATAGCTGGATATTAAAGAAGAGATAGAGGATGAAGAGAAGACGATCGGGGATTACACCGACGAGAAGATGGATGACGCGGACCCTGCGTCCATCGAAGCCATGTACGCTGCAGCTAGTCAGTGTCTGCACGAAAAGAAGAACAAGAGGCCGGACATTGCGAAGGTACCCTCTTATATCCACAGGCAGCGAGGGCTGCGGGCCGTTAGCCTTCGCGAAGTGTGTGTCCCGAGGCGTCTGCATAATGTTCTTGTATTCTTTCTTTTTAAAGGTTCAACAGTTGCTGCAAGAGATGCCTGCTAAACAAGAGTGAAATAGACTATATATATATATAATCTACGTATAACACACTCGATAAGCACTCACCCTTCACCTTTGTTTTTTAACGTCTTGTGGTCCTGAAGACTGAACAAGCACTTTGGCACTGAGCTACATCACCAGCCTGGTTTTTGGTTTTGTTTTCCTAAATGGTCTTTATGTTTAACACGGCAGCATGGTGCACTGTACTGACTGATTAACGGATGCGTTGACCCGCTGCCAAAGTGACAGTAGCATGGTGGCACTTGGCCCCACCTCCTTTGTATGGAGATCATTTTCCATGGCAATATCATCAAATTACAGCAACTACAAGATTCAGAAAAACAGTACAGCACTAGGGAGACCCTAGGGTTTGGGGTTTTGTTGTTGTTGGCCCTAGAAGTCCTGATACTCTCTCTCTACAGACCAGGCTGACCTCGAGCTCAGAAATCTGCCTGCCTCTGCCTCCTCTGCCTGTGCCACTACCATATAGCCAGAGACCCTGGTTTGAAGCTCAGCAGACTCCGCTAATCTCCTGTAAAGCTCTGGTCCAGCTCTCAGCTACCCTAAACCTCAGATTTGGCTTTTCTGTCTTGTTAATGAACTCTGTGCTCCTGTAAATAACTCTTCCTATGCTCCTGGTACTTAACCCCAACCTGTACATAACTTCCATGGCTCCTCCCACCGCTCCTCCATGGCTCCTCCCACCACTCCTCCAATACGTAACCCCCACACCTCCTCCTGTACGTTACCCCCACCCCTGCTCCTTTAACCCTAATTAAACTCATTGGGTCACCATGGGTGGACTCAATCATTCAGTCTGCCTTTGATATCCTAATTTGAATGAATAGATGCTTGCTTGTCTCCCCCAGGGAAAACTCACACACTTAGTACTTTATGTGGGGCGTAACAGAACCAATGATCAGCTTGGGGGTGGTACTTGCATTGTCTCTGCTATGTGCAATAAGACAGCAACTGGAGCTGATCTGTCTGAGGGTGGAGCACCCACCCAAGGGGACAATCCTGATGTCATCCCTTCCCATGTGGCAAGAATGGCAGGCTCTTTTGCTGTACTGGGTGGTTTTATGTGTCAGCTTGACACAAGCTAGAGTCTGCAGGGAGCAGGCGCCTCCACTGAGGAAATACCTCCTTGAGATCCAGCTGTAAGGCATTTTCTCATTTAGTGATCAATAGGGGAAGACCCAGCCCAAGGTGGGTGGTGCCATCCCTGGGCTGCTGGTCCTGTGTTCCATAAAAAAGGTGAGCTAAGCAAGCCAGAAGAAGCAAGCCGGTCAGTAGCACTTCTCCACGGCCTCCGGGTTCCAGCCCCGCTTGAGTTCCTGTCCTGACTTCCTTCAGTGATGAACAGAAAGGCTGAAGTGTGAGCCAGATAAACCCCTTTCTTCCCGACTTGCTTTCTGGTCATAGTGTTTTGTCACAGCAATGGAAACGCTAACGAAGACACTTGCTGTAGTGGTGGCTGCATTGGTCCTGCCTGAGTGAAAAGACACGTAAACAAGACAGCAGTGGTCCGCCTGCAGGCGGAGTCTCTGTGAGGAAAGTTCCAGAAAGGCCATCTTCTTGTCGGTATGCAATGGCATGCCCCCTTGATGAGTGGAATCAGCTGGCCATTTCAGACTACAATAAGAAAAAGGTGCAGATTCTGCCCTCTGCATTATTCTCTGAATTGGCATGTAAAATGAAAGAAAAAAAATGAGACCAGGGCAAATGTCCTTTAATGCCATTGGGAGGTAGAGCCAGGCAGTCTCTGTGAGCTTGATACCAGCTAGGGCTAGAGTGTATCTTTCTCTCTCTCTCTCTCTCTCTCTCTCTCTCTCTCTCTCTCTCTCTCTTTCCCCCACGGAAATGGTATGGCAGTGAAGTATACTAAAAAAAAGTTTCTTCTATTCCAAGGGACTGGAATTTTTCTGGACCTCACAGCCAGTAAATAAAATTCCTTGCGGTCACTTAAGGCTGATCTCCTACTGTGTAGTCAGCCCGTTTGCTGAGCCCACATTTAAGAGAACAGTGTAACAATCAACCTTATTTGCCTTTGATTCCCATATAGTCTACTTTTACAACCAAAGCAATGAATAGTTGTAATCTTGAGTTATCTAGTCTTCCGTGTCCCTGACCTAGGAGTAATACATGTATGCTTTGTTTGTTTGTATTGTGATAATCATTTGATGAAAACAGCAAATATATATTGAAAGCAATCTTTTGAAAGCGGTCTTATAAACATGAATATCCATAATCATTGAAGACAACAACATATGGGTATTGTTTGATAAACAATGATAAGTGTAATACTGTTTGCTATCTGGGTCAGTTGGGGTCAGCTGGAGTAAGTAACTTGATTCCTTGTGTTGGGGGAGGCCGCTTGTTCATTCCCAACTGCCCAGCCTGGAAATAATCACTCAGAAACTATATTATTTAAATCACTGCTTGGCCAATCACTTAAGCATATTGCTAGCAAGCTCTTACATCTAGTATTAACCCATTTCCATTATTTTATGTTTTACCACAAGGCTTGTGGCCTACCAGCAAGGTTCTGGCTGGTGGCTTCATGGCATCTCAGTGACTCCACCTACTCTCTCTATATATATATCCCTTCCAGCCTGGCTATGTTCTATTAAGCCATTGGCTAAGAGCAGCTTCTTTATTCATTAGCTAATAAAAGCAACACATATACAGAAGGACTTCCCACACCACCCTTGTTAAAAAAAAAAACTGTTAAAGATTTCTGTAAGGTGTCCCCCATTCCTTCCCTGTGCAATACTCTCTGTGCTATTCAGCCCTTTGTTAGGGATAGCAACATAAACACACACAGATATACAGCCAAAGAAAAGGGACAGATTCACAAGATGGCATTTAGACAGACACAGATTCAGACTCATACAACAGACAGACAGGTGACAGAAGACACAGGAGAACAAAGTAGAGAATTCAGACCTGGGCTCACTGTTGGTTAAATGACACCAAAGAGAAGTGCTGTATTGATTTCTGTCCTTAATGCAACACCAACATGTTGTTGGTAATTGAGTTTATTAATGCATTCAAGCTGATGCAGGATGGGCTGCTAGCTTGCCATTTCATATGGAGGACTTAAAATACAAATTACATGTATGCTGAATAGTCCTCCCTGTGATCTCCACTCTTGGAATCCGTGGGGAGAATTTGTCAATGAGAAGGAGGAAGGAATGGGAAATATCCCTTATGCATGATCTTTAATACAGAGGAAGGATAAACCTCACTGCTGCACAGGGGCCTTAATAATGACCTGGTGTGATAATCATGGAATATTGTGCTGTTGAACTGTTTGAATTGGAGGAGACTTTTACATGATAAATTAGCTCTTAAAGCTGTAGGGCAAGAGAGTAGATGGAATCAACCTAGTGTTGTGGAAGCAGAAAAACTAATATAACCACACAACCCTGCTTTAAGACAAAACTTATATGATCTATGGGGGTTTGAATAGGTATGGCACTATTAGGAGGTGTGGCCTGGTTGAAGTAGGTATGGCCTTATTGGAGGAAATGTGTAGGCTTTGAAGTTTCATAGGCTCAAGTTCCGCAAGTGTGGCACACAGTCTCCTGCTGCCTGCTGGTCAAGTTGTAGCTCTCTCGGCTCCTTCTCTAGCACCACGTCTGCCTGAATGCCTCCGTGCTTCTCACCATGAGGGGAATGGACTAAACCTCTGAACTGTAAGCTAGCCCCATTAAGCATTTTCCTTTATAAGGGCTGCTGTGGTCCTACTGTCTCTTCACAGCAATAGAAACCCTAACAATGACATAATCCAAGACAATATGAGGGAAATCGCTCTCTGGTGGGTGGCCCACAGGAACTATCATAGATACCTAACTGGGGGTCCCCTGACTACTGTGAACTGGAGGACAATAGAGGAAGGACAAATGTGGAAATAATCACGCATGAGAGAGGCAGTGTTGCATGCCCAGTCCGTTGTATCAGATAGGACCAGGAGATTTAACAGAGGCTGGTTCAGCAGTTACCTTGGGACTGGTACGGTCTCTAGTGGCTCTGATGAGCGTTGTGGCATGTGTCCTTTATTAGGAAAAAGCGCCCCTGACAAGTCTGAACAGTGTGGACTGATATGTAAACAAGCTCATAAACTAATAAAGCAATCAAGAGGGATGATTAAAAGAAATCAGACAAAGGGATCGGTGTGGGAACTAAAAAGCAAATTTGAGGCCAGATTAGTGTCAAGACAAAGTTCCTAAGGAAAAAAATGATAGTGAAATTCAATAGAGCCTCTGGAAGGCTCAAAGGCCTGAAACAAAAGCTTAATTAATACATAAATGTCAGCAATGTAAATGAAAAAGACTGTTTGTCCCCAGGATGGGAATTAGATATCCACCCCCAACCAGAATAAGCTATGCACACTCCTCTCCTGGGAGGCAATTTTCTGTGCATGGAAAGTGTTTACCCAACCTAGAGACCCCTCAGTAGCCCAATGTAGCCAATAGAGAGGCAACAACTAGGCACAGCTTAGCCCAGAGACAATCAGATGTGTGGGATGGTAGCAGGTGTGACATGGCTGTGCTTCCTCTGGGCCCTAGGCCAGCCCAGGCACCAGGACTCAGCCCTAGCCCCCACGAGCCTGTTGCAGGTGGGAATGCATGTCATCCCTGAAGTAGCACTGCAGCCTGAGGAAATGGAGTAACTCGGGGCAAGTGTTTGTGGATAGTGGCGGGTAAACTAAAAACATAGCTCCCCTTCAGACAGCCGTACGCAAGTCTGGACTGTTGAGAAAACAGTCGATAGAAGAAATGGAAACTTTTGTGGTGTATATGGGACCACACTGTCATTTTCCCTTCGTATTTCCGAAGCTACTGACTTCTAAAATCAACTGGCAACTGGTTAGCATGATGGGTGGTGGTCCTTCAGAGGTCCTGCCACCCTTTGCACAAAGGCTGCATTTCACACATGGCGTAATGCTAAGTTCTTGGTGTTTTAAGAGATTTAGAAAGACATCTGAGAGCTAGAGAGATGGCTCAGTGGTTATGCCCCTGCGGAGGACTCAGATTCTCAGCACCCACGTCATGGAGTCTACAAACCACCACCTGTAACTCCAGTTCCAGTGGGTGTCAATGCCTCTGGCCTCCAAGGGCACTTACAATCACATGTACATACCCATCCCAACACCTACACATAATTAAAAATAAAACAGATTTTTTTAAAAAGATTTATTTATTTATTATTATGTATATAGTGCTCTGCCTGCATGTATGCCTTCAGGCCAGAAGAGGGCACCAGATCTCATGGTTGTGAGCCACCATGTGGTTGCTGGGAATTGAACTCAGTACCTCTGGAAGAGCAGCCAGTGCTACTGAGATGCCATATCTCCAGTCCAATAAGGCAGATCTAAAGAAAGAAAAGAAAGGCTTCTGAAACACACCCAAGTACGTGGGAAATCAGTTCACACAAGGTTCAAGGGCCACACATAACTCTGAAGTCCTTGGGTAAAGCACAGAGGTCATACAACAGAGTAAGGGGGAAAAAGGCCCCCAACAGCCTGTGCCTGTCCGTGTCAAAACAAAGCTCGGAGTTTGAACAGAAGTCCCTTGTTTGGTTGGAAATAAATATTCCTAGAAGCTATAAGGTTAGTGGAAATTCCAATGCTGGGGATAGGGCAGCTCCTGAGTTCTTGGCCAGGATGCTGTCCAAGCAATACAAGGCAATTTCCACTGCTGTTGGTTTTTCACCAGAACTAGATGATAAGACCCTAATACTAAAGACACCACACACTTTGGTTGTGGAACATGAGGAGATCAAGCTGGAACTGGGCTAGAAGCTTCCTGCCAACTAACTCAAAGTGCTGGAGGTGCTGTGCAGGCTCCTGGGGAAAGATCGTCAGCAGCATCCTATGCGGCTGTGATCCCTGCATGTTACACTACAGACTTGGGCAAGAGGGGCCGCCAACACAATAGTGGTACAATTGTTATGAGTGCCTCCAGTTGCTTTCTGAGTGGATGTAAAGCCTACTTCTCGGGAAGAAATTCATACACAGTACTGTAAACCTGTAATGGAGCCATGGGCCTTATTAAGGGATAGTCTCCTGTTATTGTTTGACTAAATAGATATAGTGTACCTGCCAGAGTGACTTCTAAGCATTTATAATTATGTCTAACTTATTGCTGCTTTCAGCCTTGGTCAGTAAGTGTTAGTTACTACATAACTGATCAAAGTATCAAGAATAATGACTGGTGAGTGCTCAACTTCAAATGGGGCATCTCTATTAATCCTTCTAAGTCTCAGAGAATGGATTAGCTCCCTTTGTGATGCTGTGATAAAAACACCATGGCCAACTCACAGAATGAAGAGTTTTGGGCTTATGGTTGCAGAAGTATAAGGGTCCATTATGGTAGGGAAGCACAGCAGTAGGTGTCAGGCACGGCAGCAGAAGCAGGAAGTTGAGAGCTCACGTCTTCAAGCTCAGACACAAAGCCAAGAAGGAAAACTGGAAGCACAGTGAGGCCTTATGACCTCAGAGCCCCCCCCCACACACACACACAATGATGAGCGTTCCCTAACAAGGCTGCAACCACAAAAAACACCCCGTGGCACCGCCAGCTGGGAAGCCAGTGTTTAGATACCAGAGCCTATGGAGTAGGCTCATTCTGATCACCAAAGGGAATATCCCAGAAGAGAAGGTGGAAAGATTATAAGAGCCAAAAGAAAGGGTGCCAATTTGAGGAATACTTTCCTCTGTGCCTACTATGGCCATTGCTCCCCTGAACTGTCAGCAGCTGTGATTATCCACACAAAGCATGAACAAGATGGGGCCCATTTGTGCAGGGAGGAGTTCACAAGGTCCCTCATATCTCGAAGGATATGTAGGCAGTTAAGGGTCTCTGGGAGAGACATTTTCTTCAGTGGTGCTATAAGCCCAAAACTCCTTACCCTGCTTTTGTTAATATCCCCAGTTAAACTCACTGGTTCACCAAGTAAGACATGAGTGGAGTTGCTTATTTTGTCTGTCATTTGTAACATGTCTCAGGGAAGAGATGTCTAGTCATCTCCCCTAGAAAATCTCACATTCACACACTTCCCCAAACACTAGAGTAATATCTACTCTGCCTTCCTGGTGGCAGGGAAGGGGAGTCATAAAAAGCAAATAGTTAAAAATACAGGCAAAGACTTTATAATAGTAAAATGATAGGTTCTTTAATTTTTTGGATACAACTATAAAACCCTATCTATAGCAAAAT